GTTCATATTGAACAGGAAGCCACATATTGAATTAATTTACATGTCATACATTCATTCATAATGCAGAAGAGATATAAAACGGCATAATGTCGCCATTAAAGGATTGTCATTAATCGATTGACGTAAGTCTTTAATGATTTAATAGAAATCTAAAGACTAAGTAGACCATGATGAATTAACATTTACGATTATCATGCTGATCACATGCTGATCGGCGTTTTTTATTCTGTAATGCCCTTGTATATTATTATCAAAAAAATTAAAGACTTAAAGTTTAAGTAGTGCAGTGTTTAGTAAAGCTTTAATAGATGAATGAGGCGATGAATGAGAAGATAATAAAAAAAAGGAGGCTGTAAAATGAAAAATTAATCGGAGGATTTGATAGAGGTTTATAAGTTTCTGAGATAGACATGATGTAATATATATTTGGACACGAATTATATTTAATTTCTTTTACTAAATATTTCGCTAAAAATAAAAATTTGACAAGAAAAAAGTCCCGTAAATTGAGATTTATTTACATATATTAATTATTTATATATATTAATCGTTAAAGAGGACGATTATTTAGGTTAGAAAATCTGTCACAAACACGAAATATTGCAATATTTAATGCCTTACCTTGCATAGTCTGTTTTATTTTTTCAGTTTTCATTATTCTTAATATATGTATATTAAATTTATTCCTCAAATTTTGTGCACTCTATACAAATATAGACACTCTCAATATTTCCGAAAAGTATTCCAAATTCCGAAAAATATTCGTGTAAAAATTCTGAGAAAAATTATTCTTAATGTAAGGGTAAATTCCACTTTACTAATATATTCTCATAAATTAAGAATATGATATTGATTTATTCTTCAAAAGAATTCCCTCTGAAGTTAAGAAAATTCTTTTGGCACCTATTTTAGAAAATTATCATAAAAATAAATGGGAAATTCTTAAGTAGATACAATACAATTTTATCAGTATTATTACTACAATAATTGAAATATTTTTATCACTTCAGTGCACAATGTTAATTAATGAAAAAGAAAAATTTTTACAAATTCTTCCACTTCTTTATCATGTTAAAAGAATCAATTCAACAAAGTAGGCTTTGACGTCAATCTCAAAACCTATATATTCCGCACGAATGAGTGATTACCGGAAGACTGGACAAGAATTGGTCATGAATTATTATTTACGTCACGGATATGCTTATTCATTCATTAAATACAACTTGTATTTTTTGCGCGTTTGATTGGACATAATGTGCTTGAGATCATATTATTCTAGATCTCTGTCTTTGATTATTACCATCGTTACGTATTGCGTTGCGCTCGTGCAAAATGAAAAGTAATAACAAGAAAAGCATTAAAATCAGCAAATTTATCTACTTTAGAAGAATATAAATTTAAATATCACATTAAATATAGATCATAATATATTAAATATATTATAAAGAATTATGAGAAAGGTAACTTACATTGTTTTTTTTAAATATCTTTAGTGTCATAATTAAAAAATAAATAAGAAAAACTAACTGCAAAAGAGATCAGCAAAGTATATTATAAATTCTAAATAAGGCGTAACAAAATTCATTCCTAATACAAAAAGTAAAGAAAAAAATAATTCTGTTTGAAATTTCCTTCAATTTGATCACCACGATCATTATTAATTGTTTTTCAC